TGTTTGGAACAGGTTGGTGGTACGTAGATCTTTGCCCACAATATTGAGCGGTAGCCATTCAAACTTCTCGATTTGCCATCTATGACTAACCAATCGAAAATCTTTGGGGAGAAGCAAAAGCACGTTTTGTTGAAATACAGCAATTGGGATCGGTATAAATAAGTACTCCACCACCTCAGTTTGGTACTGCATGGGCGGTTAACCCGGTGGTAAATAACTTCACCAACGGATACGGCTGTATCACCCGCTTCTCCATGGAGCCACGTTTCTTGCAAAATAATGAATCCAAACTGCGAAACCTCTTGAGAAAGCAACGTTGGTTGCTTCATTTAAGTTCCCAATAAACGAGCGGAGGTTAGTGATAAGCAATACTGGGACGCTCAGGTCTCTCAATATTTTCCTTCGAAGTTCAACTCGCCATGCAGAACCGTTTATGCGAACAGCATTCTCCAACTTATGAATTCGTTTCAGTTTGTTTCTGATGCCACACCCGTTCGAAACCGCACGCGTTACGAGCGTAGAAAAACGTAGGGATTTTAAAATATTGTGCGAGTAGTTTTGCATTGCGGGACGCGTGATGAAATAAAACACGAACCTATAGATCAAACGGTAAGCTGTGAGATTGTGTGTGTAGATAAACTACAAAGAAATGAACCGTAGAGCACGGCCTAAAGTTTAAGGCCTCACAAGGAGAATGAACTATATTATCTTCTTATATGTGGGCCATTCTTTGGCATTCCGTCAATGTTTTGCTCAATATTACACGATAGCCTTGCTTTCACAGGTTACTACTTGTACTTAGCGGTGTTGCTGCAGAGATTCAGCACTGCTGAAGCAATATGTGTTTAATCTTTCGAGTGTGATACTAAACCAGGCGCACCTGAACGTGTCATCCTTAGATCCACATTTTTGCATTCCATGTAGGAAAATAGACCAGGCGGCTTTAGAGGTGTACTTTGAAAGCCTAATCGCTCAGACAAAAGACCAGCTTTCAACCACATCAAGTGAAATTGAGGATCTAAAATCTAGCCTAGTTCCTAGTTGGCTAGGACACGGTAAGACAAAACGGTCTAGTAATAGTGGTGGTACTAGGGAACAACATCGGTCACTTGAAGAGCTGCGGTTAAACAACGAATTAATAAGCTCTAAGCCAGACAAGGGCTCCAGCATAGTTCTAATAGACAGGGTGGCTTACATCCATAAAATGCAACACATCCTCAGTGACCGGCGCAAGTTTCAGAGCCGTATGGCAAGAAAAGACAATAGAGGTGAATTAGAGGAACGGCTGACTGGCTGCCTCAGGTGAATGAGGCAAGCCAAACTCATGCCGAAGAACGAGTTCCAAAAGCTGAAGCTCTCAGTTGGACACCTACAGAGACTATATGGTATGCCTAAAGTTCCCAAGGAAGGCGCCCCAATGCGCCCAATCTTGGACCTGATGGGTTCTCCTCAGCATTTTTGGCCCAGTGGATTGTGGAGAAGCTGCAACCGTTACGGAATTTGTGTTGCACATACTGCGTGTGAGAAACCTTCGGATTCACTGAGATGATATCTGAAATCAAGCTTGTTAACAAAGGAATGATATCATTCAATGCCCAGTCGCTGATCACAAACATTCCACTGCTCGAAACCGTAGATTACGTATGTGAGCTTGCTCGGCAACTTCCCAAATAAGCAACTTTCCCGGAGAATTTGCTAAAGGTGGTGCTACTTCGTTGCACGTTGGGTGTTCAGTTCACCTTCCATGATGAACTGTGCCGTCAGATAGATGGAGTGGCCATGGGATCTCCTTGGGGCCGCTGCTGGTTGATATTTTCATGGGGAAATTGAAACCTGGCCCACTTGCAACGCACCTCCGCGAAACCAAAATGACACGCAAATGACACGCAAAATCGTGAAGCGTTCCGTATTTTTTAGCTGGCTAGCCGAACAACCTCCTCGTGGTGCCAGCTGGGTGGTTCGGGTTTAACCCGTTCCAGCAAATAGTTCGGCGGCAGTGTTCCAGGACGTGGTGGGTTTTCGCCTGGCAAGCGTTTTCCTTATAAAAAGCCACAAATGTCTACTTATCAACACTGCGACGTGGCGGATGTGACTCGCCACAAAATAAAGTCACTGGCCCGTGGAGATCCGGAAAGTACTATCCAACCCAAGGACATCAATCGCTTATGCTCACATTCCTGACGACAACAAACAGTCAAAAACGCTGCGGCACATTCAAAGACACAAGCTACATTCATATACAATTACATAAGTATATACACCCGTACACTTACATACACAGTTATGCCAAACATGTACTTTTGTACATTATTGATCACACTGTTAGCTAAACATGATCATGCCTGTAAAGGTGTGTCTCGCATGGTCGAGAATAAAAGCTTATTTATTTATTTATTTATAAATGCACGTGCGGTACATTAACGACAACTTTGTACTTTGCAACTCCGAACAGCAAGCGGAACAGTTGTTGAAAGCTTCCAATAACGCACACGAGAATCTCCAGTTCACTTGTGTACAAGAGCACGGAAACCCGTTACATTTCTTGGATGTAGAGGTTATCCGTAACTCGGAGGGATCATGCAGCAGAAACGCACACAGAAAGCACACACGGACCGGGTGGTACAGTAACTTCTACCGCGCACTAGCTCTACAACATAAGCGGAGTGTAAGCAGACCTCACGCCTTCAGAGCGCGCAGGATTCTTACACCAGCTACCGTCAACGTAGAACTATAGGGAGTTAGCGACGCCCTCAGAGAAAATGGTTATCCTGATAAATTGCTCGTGAAGCATTTGAAGGAACGCAATCGAAAGCCACATAGGAGCGTTGCTCCTAAGAAAGAGCTTTTCATACCTAGAGCATTTAAGGGTGATAATGCAGCTGATATGTTATCCAGACGCCTGAAAGAGGCTGTTGGGAAAACTTATTCCGCGACCCGCCTGCGAATCGTTTACCACAACAAGCCGTTGCTTATAAAACCCATGAATGATAGATTGCCTACCATGACCCGTTCAGTGGTCGTATATCAGTACTCGTGCTCCTGTACTGCACGATACGTGCGTCGCAGGACGAGGCGCCTAGCTCAGAGGATTCGTGGACCCACACCGGCATGGTTTTACAAAGGCAAAAATAGGTCCTCAGGCAGCATAATCATGTCACACTTCCTTGAATGCTGCCATACAGCTTCAAAGAATGACTTTAAAGGCATCTACTCACTACCTGAACACTTCTGCCAAGGATTCCGCAAACCGTTCTTATTCATTGCAGAGGTGATCTACCTTCACCATCTGAAGCCGGAATAATGTGTAAAAGCCGATATATACGGCCGATACTACTACCTTGGCCAACGGACACAGTTAATTAGTTGTTTGGTTGTTAGGTTACTTACCTAATTACTTCGGATTACTGAGTAGTGTATGCCAGTTTATTTGGTCCAGTTAACATACCATCTGGCTCCCTGTCTCAAGTTGTTGATTTTGCTCGTTCAAACAGTGCAGAACTTAATCCCAGTCCGAGTTGACGCTTTCCCCAAAATCGGTGTTGTGTAAACGTTTGGTCCGATGAGGATGTACCGAAAAGAATTCTTCACCCTTAACTTATTACTGATATGGGAATATTTGCTTTGCTGACGACCAACATTGCGCGTGATTATTTGAAACTGCTGTAGGAAACCACGCTGATGTGGTACCGTGCATTAAGAACTTTCTGCGCCTCATACGGCAAAACTGCCTCCAAAAAGAAATCCTGCCACCCACTGTTTGTGTGATAAAACGTTAGTTTTATGTTTAAAAACAAACACGTCCATTACAGGTAAAGGTGAGTGTGGAAGTTGATATATCAGACACGGAATTACTGTAGTGATCATTTGTACCATTTTCATTGTTGACTAGATCTTAAATAACCACTATTTCTCCAAATGCTTACGATGAAGTATGCAGGAACGCCTGCAGTTACACTTGAGTCCCTGCCGACATGCCATTTCACTTATAAGCAATGGAGCTTCTTCTGTCGCGTGATGGCATGTAGGTCAAGGGAGTGTCCATTGATCGCAGGTGAAACACAAGGGGCACCTGAGATTAGATTGTGCATCATGTGTAGGTAAGATCGCGAATGAAAGGTGTGCTGACAACCTAGTGGGAAACGTGCAGTGAGCGGATATGTCGTGGTGATTATTTTTGCCGACCTTCATTTATTTCGCTTAATGATTTTAGCAGGTCACCCTTTTGGCACTTTGAAATTGCGGAAAACTACTAGCATACACTACGTTTAACCGCGCTCCTGTGATGCTGCTTTTCGGCTGTGCTGCTGCTTTTTGTGTACGCTGCCTTCGTGTATGCTTGCCAGCGGCGTACCTGCTGTGGAACTTCGATTAAACTCCTGCTCCCATTGAGCACGACATGTTCGACAGGTATAACGATCACCGTAGCCGGAACTTAACTGTGAGTCAACTGTGAGCTAGCCATTCGTTAGGTTTTGCTTTTCCTAAGGGACAAACAATTCGGCATTTCGTACACCACGATAAAGTCCAAATGACACTAGACAAGCTGCGAAATAAACATCCCGTATTGCTTGGCTACCTAACTACGTTGACCTTGCCAACCAACGCAGGCTGAGTGGTCAAAGGAATCCTATTGAACTGCATGAGCGTCCGCCTGGTCGCATCAACGGATCGTCGAAAGTTACATTCGTTATCAATCAACGTCCATGGCTGAGGCGAGAAATCGCGGTCAAGGTCGGTATAAACCTAACATGACACAAAATCCACAAGGTAGGGTGATGCAGGATTTAACTGCTTTGATGTTGGAGAGTAACTTGTTGCCTTATTAGTTCGTAAATAGATCCCTATTAGCACATCAGTTATATATAACAACAGGCATTTCAACTAATCCATAAATTAGATTTATACATGCACCGAATGGACGTTTAGGGTACTTATTATTGTTTTCAGCTCAGCAGCTAGGGTAACAGTTCTTTTGTTTTTCTGTGTTAAAAGTTGCCGTTTTTAGGTCATAATGGTTGTCATAACGATTGCGAAATTTTAAAGCTAATTTTCACCATGAAAGAATCAGGCACCTTATCACATTCGAAAAAATATATGGGTCATAGTCTGCGAAAAAGCACTTTGATGCTTGGTTCTCGGGTTTCAAGTTGCGTTTCCAAACGCTCCGATACAGAGAAACGCCCTTCAAGACCAACAATTAGATTGATTGATCAAAACGGATTAGATCTTACGCCACTGCCACTACTGACTGATGACAAAAGGTTTAGAGATGATAGAGAAACGGTACGGTTTAATATCACAACATATACTTTTCTTAAAGAGCAATGATTGCACTGCTTCTATACACAGCGGTAGCAGTCTGCATATCACAAACCCCTTCGCTTTCACTCGCTCTTTGGTTAGCGTCTCTAGCCCAACTGGCGATTCTCGATCCGAAGCAAGCGATGATAATGTTGAACGATACCATGCCTACACAGGTAAGAAGGACTGATTGCTCGCTTAAAATATTCATCCGATAAGTAAACTTAATACATATACACTCATTTATAACTTTCACAAAGTAATAAGTGTGATGCACATTAAGCGCAGTATGCCAACGTAAAACGTGAGAGTGATTTTCACACATTGGAGTAACCGTTAAAGCGTCCTTAGTGACTGTTATTTGTGCTTAGTCGTCCCGGTACCACACGTGTGAGACGAAATTCTGTCATTCGTGTAAGCTTCTCATGTGCAACCTTAAAATATGCTGTGAATGCATTCGGTAATCGAAATGCCGCTAACGCGCAGCAGTAATTTATTCCTAACTTCAAAACGGTGGAACGATAGGAGAACATCTCAGGGAAGAGATCAAGTTCAAGTGGGATGGGAACGATAGGATGTATCCCGTAAGCGTTCCTTCCTGAACGGGTCGTCGATCCAGGAGTCGATAGGGGGGCTCCGGCTTCTTGCTGCGTCTAAAAGGAAAACACTCGAAAAAACACCCTGGTCCACCAATTTAAGGCCCACGTTCCTTACATCAGCTGTCCCAGCTATATCAATTACATGAAGTAAGTAAGAGAGGAAGAAAAGTCGAAGGTAATGTGTATGGGAACTTAGTTAAAAGAAAGAGAATAATACCAATGGCGAGGAAAAGTAAAGAAAATAGAATCGAAGTATGAAGACAGGAATTAGTCAGGAAAAAGGTAAGGTTTCGTGTTGTCACCCAAGAGCGTCTAGTTGACGCTCAAACCTCTTAACCATAGATTCCTTGACAACATCTTCTGGAATCAGGTTCCAGCGCTCGATGACTCGTCGCGATAACCGTGTCTCCGCTCTAACTCGATCGGACCGCAGTTTGTCCAGCTTTATACAATGCCCGCGGAGACCAGATCATCTAGCAGGACTAAATAGCCAGGAAAAATCAGGGCCAATCTTCCCAGTCAAAATACGGTAGGTTAGGATTAGGTACCCTCTAATCCTTCGAGAGTGCATTGAATGCATCCCCAAACTAAGTAGGCGTCCGGGGTGCGTTTATCCTCGTAACCCCTTGGCCAACCTAGTACCGACACGCAACACCCTTTCTAGTGCCATTTTGTCCCGGACAAAGCATGGTGGACAGGCCTGGACGCAATATTCTAGGTAGGGTCACACAAACGCTGAGATGAGCTTCACAAACACATCAGCGGTTAGGGTCCCGAAAGAACGACGGATAAACCCCAACATCCGGAAGCCTTTACTAGCCGCTTTCTTCCAGTTGTCTCCAGAGTCTAGTGTGGAACAGTGAACGACACCTAGATCAACCTGATGAGTCACGTGAGGTAGTTCACTCCCATCGAGCACATAACTTGTGGAGGTAGCAGACGCTCCGATACGCAGCACTGAACACTTTGCCCGGTTTATGGGCAGCAACCACAAGACAGACCATTCCGAGAGTCTATACAGAGCCCGTTGAAGAGCCACAGGACCTCCAGGGATATCAACAATATTCCAGAGATTTAGGTCATCAGTAACTATGAACGATGGTACCTCAAGCTCCCTCAGCAAGTCATTCACGTAGACTGAGAAAAGCAGAGGACTTAGGACAGAGCCTTGCGGAACGCCGCTAAGTACAGCTTGTCGAAACTAAAGACTGCTTCCCACACAAATACACTGTTCCCGTCCATCCAGAAAAGCTGACACCCACTGGAGAGCGCGACCAGCTATTCCATACGACCTCAACTTCAGTGAGAGTCGAGAATAAGGGACAGTGTCAGAGGTCTTGGCGAAGTCAATGAACACCACATCCACCGCATGTCCACTGCCTGCGGCTTCAACCCAACACTCACGAGCTACCAGCAAGTTCGGTTGACACTAAAACCCTTTGAGAAAACCATGTTGCTCGACGCTAAACAGGTTAAACGTATTTAAATGGTTCTCCACTATACCTCGTACTAGTTTTTCAAGTAACTTAACGACCACGCTAGTCAAGCTGACAGGCCTGTACTTAGCTGGTAGGTCTTTGTCACCGCACTTGAAAATCGAGCAGACAACAGCCTCCTTCCATTCGGTAGGCAAGATACAGCTGTTGAGTGACTTCTGAAACACACAAGTCAGTGGTCCACTGAGTTTCATTGCAACAATTTTGGATGGATAGAATCTGGTCCGGAAGCATTAGTTGTGTTCACCTCTCTCAGCAACCGGAGAACATGGGACTCAGTTACAGGAATTTCATCCAGACAACAGTCCTCAGAGACTCTTGAAACTGGTTCTCTGCATTTCGTATTAGTTTCGCAGACAAAGACGCTTGCGTACAGCTCACCAAGCACGCATGCCTTGACATAGTCGCTGTAGGTATGGGTCCCATCTCCTCGAAGAAATGGTGGTATGGGCGAGTTTGCACCACAGCGTCGTTGAACGTAAGCAAAGAATTTCTGGGGATTTTTCGAGATACTATCAGCTAAGCCCTTTTCATACTGAAGCCGGGCCAACCTAAGATGCAGCTTGCACTCATTTCAAACCAACCGGTACTTGTCAAACGTGCTGTTTGACAGAGCTGTTCGGTACGATCGCCAGCATCTAGACCGCTTCTTTAGCAGACCCTTACCCGCGGAATCTATCCACGGAGGCTGCGCTGTCGATTCCCGTGGGACGTGAGGTGCAGAAATGTCGACGAGGTAAGCCTTAAGTTTTTCCCAGGCTATGTGAACAACGTCGGTCTCAGATATCACACAAGGCAATGACCTAGCTTTATCCCGCATCGCTTGAAAATTCGCATCCCAAATGTTTGGATACCAACTGGTAGTAGCTTGGCAAGGCCTGATAAGGGTACACTGGAAAGACATGCAAATGTGATTGCTAGCGCCAAGAGGCGAGTCGCATTTAATGTCATTTACAAAGTCAAGTGACTTGGCAAAAACAAGATCTAAATTGGACGGCTGCTGCTTACTCATGTACTTAGTGGGGAGGTCCATGAATTGGTGTAGTGGTACATGCAACGTTGAGTCCAGCAGTTCTATGCCGAACGATTCCAGAGCCTAACCGCAAGATAGATCATCCCAACAAACCTCTGGGAGGTTGAAATATCCCGGCACCAGACACTTGTTCGCAGAGTGAGTGCGCATAAACAATGCTTCCATTGGAGGTGCTCATAGGGCTTCTATACGCTAACACGACCGTAACCTGAATCGATGAAGCGCAAATCAAGCCTGCGAGAGCCTCAACAGATTTGTCGTGAGACTGAAAAACGCTGGTCCTCAATACGTCGATGTGATAACTCACATAAACAGCCACACCACCCTCTCGACGGCCAATGGAGCGGTCAGCGCAGAACAGTGCGTAGCTAGGCAGATATACTTCGCCATCTGTGATTTCCTCAGACAGTCACGTTTCAGTGAAAGCAAGTATATCTGGACGAGATATGTCTACGATCAGACCCACCTCGCACATCTTGTTCCTCAGGCTACGCACGTTACTAAGTACTAGTTGGAGGGCTTCGGCACGACCAGCCCTGGGTCGTGCGCAAGTAGAATAGGTTCTGGCAGGGCGGAAAAGGACCACCGACTGACCACCTGAAAACTTACCCATCGGAGACCTTGATCGCCAGCTGCACGCCGGGCTTTTAGGTCTCTGATGGCTTCCTTTAACTTTAACCTATCCGCTAACGGAAGGTCTGGTTGCACACTAACGTTGGTACCTTTGAGCTTGAAGGCAAATTTCAGTAAGGCTCTGCACTCTTCTGGGGTGGAGAGGACCACCATAAGCAGACGGGGTCGAGGCTTTGGTTGACTAACCGGAACGTTCCCCAATCTGATGAGCTTCTTGACGGTAACGCCTGGTGGTAAAAGCCTGGTCACGCAAACTTTAAGCCAATTAAGATCATCAAGCATGCGCTTGGTGGGAAGAGTGGCAGTGGATTCAGTGACGTTTTTGAAAATCACACTGCTATCTGTGTAAGATCGTCTCGACGAAGTGTATTTACTCCACATGCTCTACCATCCACGCCACATGGTTGTGTGACAGGAATCGGTGGGATCAAAGGCGACGGCACTTCTTGTCTCACTGAGGGAATTGCAACACCAGGTGATGTTTCCAACTCAGGCGCTTGTTTCTTGAGCAGGTTATCACCGGGTTTGGCGGCGGAGGGTTTGCGCGCTTTCCTTGCCTTCTTACGCTTATTCTTCAATGGCCCAGGAGCCCGTGACTCGCCTTCCATTTGGGGCGGGTCAACAATGCCGTCCAAGGCATCTGTGTCAGTTGTATCTACGTGAACTGGAGCGTCCGGTAGGGTGTACACCTCGTCAACGGTTGGACTGTCAGCAGGATAGCCGTTACAGCATCCATATTCGCAATATTCAGGGATTTCATAATCAAATCCACTTTCGAGTTGAGCGAGGCAAGAGAGGCAAGCTCGGCTAATGCCTTCTCAACAACCGTGAATCTGGATGCTAGTGCTTTGAATTCAGCACAGGTGAAAGCCGGAAGCTTCGCTTCCTGAGCGCAACAATCATCACGTCTAAACAGAAGGTTTTCACTGGATGATAGCATATCCTACTGATTCACTCGGAGGCCGGTACAACTTTTGTGATGCCAACGAGAGCAAATATCACACTGCATACCCCCAGATGAATCCGTAACTGGCTTTGAACAAGCAGAATTGCTGCAAGCTGCATTTGACTCAGAAAACGAGGACGCAAGCGGTTCATCCGCCTCGGTTTTTCGCGAAACGACCATGTTTAAGTGGAAAACAGAGCAGAATTTGAAAACACGTCTCCAACCGTAAAATGACCACAGTACAAAGGCGAAATAGGGTGTAAAACGGGATTAAAAAGAGAACGACCGCAAAATTACCAGTAAGCGTCAAGGAGACGCTTTGGCCAGTACCACTTTAGTCGATCCAAGATATCTTGGAGCAGAGGAAATTTGACAATAATCAAATTTCGTTTCAAGGGTTTATTCAAACACTGTTTTTCACGATATTTCAGCTAAAAAGCGCGATCAGTATGGCACACCAAAAAATCGA